AAACTTGCAAACTTAGTTAAATAAAGAATATTTGTTTCCCTTTTAAACAATCGTAAGTTGTTACTTTATATAAAAAACATCGCTTAATTTAAAAAAAAAAAATGTAAAAAAGCAATGTTTCTAAAATATTTGTTCTATATGTAATTTTTAGAAAATATTTGTTCTATATGTAATATTTAGCTTAAAGTTTTTTCGCGTTTAAAGATATTTTATTTGCCTACTTTTTTTTTTTTGTAATTGTCTCTCATCGGTCCAATTAATCTTCGTCGCTTTTTTTTTTTGCTTTTTAAAATGTTCTCAAAACGACTAAAAAATCTGGCCAGCTTTTCGCAACTAAATATTATTTTCATGGTCAGCAATCGAGAGCGATCGCTCCCGCTTCCCGACCAAGCCTAAGTCTATTCCAAACATCTGAGCTGTTACATTTGCATAACGTAAAGTTATGTAAATTTTTAAACACTCGTCCACTGTAATTGCTAATTTACCCTTTACAATTTCTAGTTTTTTAAAGTTTTCCTGAGGTTCAGCACATTTTTTTTTTTTAAACTGTTGTCAAACATTTTGGCATTTTAATCACTTTTCTAGCAATAGCTATTGCTATCATCATCATTCCATCAACAGCCGCAACATTTGACAATACTTCATTTAGATGAAATTGTTGTTTCAATTTTTTGTTTCTTACTAAGAGCATTATTTTCTCCATAATTAAAAAAAAAATTTAACATTTTAAAAAAGCACATACACACTGATTTTTATTATAAAAAAAATTTTTTTTCAAAACATTTTCTGATAATAGTTCCTAGTTTAAAAAAGTTTATCTTCTTATTAGATTCTGACTTAAAAAAATAGATTTTAAATAAAGAATCAACAAAGAAGCCAAAAGTCCAAACCAACATAGAAGCTAACATTTCAGTCAAATAAACCTAAGGTAAATAATTTAACATTTTTAATAATTCAGATTTTAAAACTACAAATTAATACCTTAAAAAAAAAACATTTATATTCTATCAAAAAATAGCTTTTTTTCTGAATCTTCTTCAAATCAACATCAAAAACAAATTTTTCTTTTCAATCAACAACATCTAAGAACATTATATTATAAAGTAACTAATTTCAATAATGATATTGCTGTATGATCAATGATATTCTGATTTGGTTACTTACCATTCTCCTAGCATCATTTAACCATTGTTGCAATCTTTTGATCAAAATGATGTTAGTTTCTTTGGATAAAAAATTGAACTTTAATTAGATCATAAAATTTTTTTCTTAACTAAAATATGTTCAATCTTGATTATGATTAAATATTTTCTAGAAGTTCTGGTTACATTTCCTGAAGGCATTGACATTTTTAAGAATTCACGGATTTGTCAGGAAACTTTTTTATTTATTATTTATTATTTTTTATTATTATTTTTTTTTTTTCTTTTATGTGCTTTTTCCTCTCATTCATCTCAAGTTCGCACTCGTTTTCGATGTATTCCGATGAATTCTGATCAAATTAACCAAGCCCTCTGTAATTATATATTAGCTAATATTGTTGTTGTTGGTGACTTTAATACTCATCACACTGATTGACTTGGCTCTAGTGTCAGTGACTCTGCAGGCATTAAGGCCCTTAACTTTTGACTTTCTTAATCTCTATCACAAATAGTCAACTTTCCAACCTGTTTTCCAGATAAGCCGAATCATTTACTTTCCTACTTGACCTAAATCTTGTTTCTGATCCTAGTCAGTGCTTAGTTTCTCCACATTTACCCTTATGTGCTTTTGATTGCAGTTTGATCTCTCTAAAACTATTATCTAATTCTTCTTCATCATCCGAATCCCCCTATCATCGTACATCTTATAACTACCTTAAAGCTGACTGGGACTCTTTCTGTGATTTTCTTTGCGATGGCCATTGGAAAGAGATTTTTCATCTTTCTGCAGACAAATGTGCTTCTTACATAACTTCGTGGATTCAGGCTGGTATGAAATCTTTTATTCTTTTTCAACGGTTCCAGGTCAAGCCTCACTCTTCTCCATGGTTTTCCTAACATTGTGCTACTGCAATTTCAAATCGAAACCATTACTTCCATATCTATCATCAAACAATTCTCCAGAAAACAGGCGTTTGTTTACTATTCCTAAAAACCATTGAAAAAGGTAAAACGCCAAAGCTCGCTATTCTCAGCTCATGAAATCTCGTATTTTATCACAAAAACTAGACTCTCGTGACTTCTGGAGAATCTTTAACAGTATCAATAATGAGGGGAAACCTGTTATTCTACCTCTCTTGTATGGTTCAGACTTTGTCACCTCACCTAAAGACAAAGCTGAATTATTTGCTAAGAACTTTTCATCAATATCATCTCTTGATTCCACTAGTTGTGTTCTACCTGATATAGCCGTAAAACAGGTTGATCCATTGCTTGACATTCGTATCACTCCAGCTTCTGTATCTAAAGTGATTTCCTGCTTAGACTCTTCTACAGCTTGTGGCCTGGACAATATACCTGTTATAGTCTTGCAGAAGTGTTCTCCAGAAGCTGTCGTCTACCCTTTCAAAACTATTCAACAAGTGCTTATCAGAGTTTTATTTTCCAGCTGCTGGAAAACAGCATCTGTTATCCCTATTTTTAAAATTTTAGAGAGCAATCTGATTCGTCTAACTATCGTCCCATTAGTCTTCTTTCTATCATAAGCAAGGTTTTTGAATCTTTAATTAATAAACACTTAATCTCTCATCTTGAATCTAATAACTGAGCAATAATCTAGAAACTGAGCACTGAGATCAGAAACAAGACATAAGTTGAGTAGAGAAGGTAAATGATTCAGGTTGTCTGGAAAGCGAGTTGGAAAGTTGACTATTTGAGTTAGGGATTGAGAAAGGCAAAATTTGTGGGCTTTAATACCTGCACAGTCACTGACACTACAGGCCTTGTGATGAATAAAAACTGCGTGACGCAAAAGCACGACGTGATTATTGACGTCATTAAATTCTTTTTATTTGCTTTTCATATTTATATCATACTTTTTCTCAAATATGTAATTTAAAGTTTTTCAAATATTTATTTTTTCTTTTTAAAAAGTCAGCAAGTAGTAAACTGGAAATTTTAATTTTGTACAATTAAAAACTGTGCAATAGCTAATATTTTTACTAGCGATTTATTATCACATTTTTTTTTTTCATTTTTATTTATTTACTTTTATTTTCATAAAGCGGTTGATAAGCACAATCACTCGTATTACTAAAAAACTTTAACGAACGTTTTGAATAGATTTTTAATGTTAACGAGGAAATTTATTTTTGGTAAAATAAAATAAAATGTTAGAATAAAAATTTTATAGGTATAAAAGACATTTTTCAGCGAAAAAATTATTCTTAAAAATTATTATTAAAAATTATTCGAAAAACTATTGACGTTCTATTTTTTAGCAGCTGTTCTTGAGTGTGCTTCATTGAGTTTCACAAAAAAGCGATTGTTATTATTTAAGTAATTTTTTTCGAGTTACTTTTTACAAAAATTTTAATAGCTTTTTTATTGAATCAAGTAGAATATGTTTTAATATTAATCCTTTTTTTTTTTTTTTATTTGTGTTTACCAATTTTTAAAATGTTTACTCGAAATTACTCTTAAATACTTTGAAAACGTCTAACAGTTAATAAACATTTTTAAATCTATGAAATAATTTTAAAACCTAACAAACCCCCGTAAAATAATTATTTAAGTTAAAAATCTAAAACTAAAAGAAAGTATTTTTGTTCAATTTATCAACAACTTTGCTATTGCTGAATAATTTTATCAAAATGTTAGCTTAAAAAGATTTAAACTTTTTTTTTAATCTGAATTTTTTTCTGCTTGTAAATAATGAGCATATTTAATTTTTTTGTAATTCAAATTTTTATATCAACTGCGTGCGGTTTTTAAAATACTTTATTAAATGTTAAAATAATCGAAAATTACTTCATTAAAATTCCGCTCAAAAATATCTTTAAATATACTCAAACAAAAAATTTTTTGCTCGACGCAAATAGCCCTAGCTACACGCAAAATCGCTCTTGGACGACATAAAATTCACATCACCCGACGCTTTATCGCAAGGCCTGACACTAGAGCCAAGCCAATCAGTGTAATGTTGCTTCTTTTTCTCTTTTCAATAAATACTATAATGGGAACTGCTCTAAAGAGCTAGCATCTCTTGTGTCATCTACTAAAATTCATTCTTGTGTTACTCGTCATTCAATTAAGTCTCATTCTTTTTCTGTGACTGTTCCTAAGTGCTCCAAAAACTCTTACTCATCTAGTTTTTTTCCTTGAACATCAGTTTTTTGGAATTCCCTTCCTTCATCATGCTTTCTTGAATGATATAATTTGCAATCTTTTAAGTCGTCTATCAAACATTATTTTGCTCTACAAGCTCCATCTTTTCTCTTCCAGTAACTTCAAACTCTTATAGCGTTTGCTTGCAGCCTTGTTGGAATCGAAGATGTTTAAAAAAAAAAAAAAAAAAAGGTTATCGATATCTTTGGTTACGGTTGGTTGTGGTTGGTTGGAGTAAAATAGAGCATTCTGTTTACCTTGTGTTATTTTTATGTTTATTTTTTTGTTTAACAATAAATTTAAACAAAGATTACATAAGTATTTGGATTTAGCTCATAATAGTTATCTGATATCATTAAAAAGCCTGAGAAAAAAGATTCAAACCAAAATTCTTGAAAATGATAAATAATTTGTAAAAAATTAGGATCATTTAAATATCTTTTTTTTATCACAATAAATTTCTACTATAGTCAACACAAACACTATTTTTTTCAACCGCTGTAATACCTTTTCACTTTATAACTCTGAAACACGAACCTTAAGTAACAAGGCTACTTTCAGGAGCAGAGCAAGATTCACAACTGCTTATTAAATTCATTTGATAAGTAATAGGTGTATATAACACCGCTTTCCTATAACCACTTTTAGGATATCTTAATTTAACTAATGTGTTATAGATAAGTAAAGACTTACACAGTAAATATTTCATTCCATTTTGGATGCAATGTTTTTTTCATGACTTCAGTTTTCCGTGCTGGCTCTCCATCAACAATTATTTCTGCATAATAATCACCTTTTCCCGCTAAATAAAAAAGAAAAAAAAAATTTGAAGCAGTAATTAAACTATACAAGAAATAAGCTAAAATATATGAAAATTCAATTTGGTACAAAACTAAATACAAACATTTAGATACAAAAAAATTTTAATGGCATGTAACCATGTTAATATGTAAACTAAAAAATAAATTTTAAAAGTAATAATAGTGTTTTAGTTTATCAGTGTTTTGTTAAAAACACTGATATACTAATTTATATCAAAATAAATGATTATTGGCATTCCCTAATCATTTTTGAGACTGTTGTGAGGGAAAATTAAAAGAACAACATATGTTGTTCTTTTAATTGTCCAAAAACTATTGTTTAAAAACTGTTGATGATAATATCATTTTTTTAATACATTAACTATAGTAACTGAATATTTTTTTAATACATTAACTATAGTAACTAAATATACTTTTAATACAATAACTATAGTAACTGGATGTATCTTTAAAAAATTGTAAAACAAAGCATTTTAAAATTTTGAAAAAATTTAAATTAATTTTTTAGAAATGGAAAGTAGAAAAAAATTTATAACTATGTTTTTTTATCCAAAAAAAAATTAATTACCATTGTGGTGAAAATGTTACTCACAACAATTAATTGCTATTTATTTACTACTTACTTTTAATTTCAAAAGATCTAACTAATCGTTTAAATAATCAAATTAATAAAATAAATCTAATTAAGCATTTTAAATATTCTAATTAAAAAGAGTTTTGGTGTAATGGCTTATTCTATAGGTAAAATCGCCAAAGCTGAATGCAACCATTATTTAAGCAAGAGTAAAAATTGCAAAGCATTGATTTGTGCAGAAACCAGGTAAAACTTTTTTTCGAGGATGAAAGAACAGTGAATGCAACTTAGCTAAATGAGTCATGCAAGATTCTAGTTAATGAAAAAAGAAATGGTTGATCAGTTATCATGGTAGTATTTGAAGAAAAGAGAAAAAGATTATATGACAATGAACAGCTCACAAACTTAACAGTTAAAGCACTACAACAATGCATTTTAATCTAACAAAAAAAGAATTTCGTTGGAAGCCAAAACATGATAACAGTATAAATTATAAACTAAAAAAAAGCAAAGAGAGTAAATGTAGAAGTCTCGTCTCCAGAGTTAAATTTGGAAAACAAATCAAATTATCATACCAATTATAAAGAAAGAAAGTTTAAGCGAAAATTACATCAGAAATGCATAAAAGTCTGAAAGAATTTATGTATAGAAAAAAAAAAAAAAAAAAGGAAAAATCTGAACAGAGTCAAAGAATCATGGTGTTGAAATACAGAAGTAGAGACGAAATTGTAGACAAAAAAGCAAACTTTTTTTGAATGTAGAAAGAGTCTAATAATGATGACTATTCGCTTGACTAAGCAATCTTTATGTGATAAAATAATCTGCCAAAAAAGGAAGTTAAAAAAACTCTGTTTGGCAAGCAGTGTAAAAATTGTACTTATTTATATTTTATTGAAGACTTTGTATTGAAGTACATATGCTGATTTGTTGTAGTAGGGATTTTATTTGCTAATTCTGCTCTCTCTACACTTTCTAGGGATTTTATTTGCTAATAGGGATTTTATTTGCTAGTAGGGATTTTATTTGTTAATTGCTTGCTAGTAGGGATTTTATTTGCTAATTCTGCTCTCGCTACACAATTAACTAATTTAAAAATATACAAAACATAACATAAAAAACATAAAAATAACAATTAAAATATACTAGTAACAGCAGGCTTGGACAGGAATGGCGTGCGATCGCACTCTGTAACTGACCACGCTAATATTTTTTTTTCTTTACAACTTGACCATGTTGATTAATGATAAAGTTTTGGAGCATTTTGTAATGTTCATACAATTAATTTTTATAACATACAATTTTTAAAAATCTTTTAAACAAACATTTTATTTTTTGAAAAATATTTTTTTTTTTCTAATTACGATAGGAATGAATAAGTGAAGCGCTTAATAATAAAGTAAAAGCTAAAATTAAAATTAAATTTGCTTGTTGACAGTTTAATTTAAATCCCAGGCGCATTTTAATGATTTATTTCCTATTTTTACGATTAAAAGAGTTAAAAACTTTTTTTTAACTATATTTATTAATTAGAGCATGAAATTATTAAAAATTACTATTTTAAAAACACTGTTATTTAAAAAAAAATTTTTTTTTGCAACTTTTTTGAAAAAATAAATGTTTATACAATTTAAAAATATCAAATACAACACTTTTTAATAAATTTGATAAAAAATTGTTCATTTATTAAACAATTGTTAGTAGTAACTTGTTAATTTAAAAGTGTTTTGTGTAACTTACGCAAAATTAGGGTAGGCCAAAAACAGAAAATTTTGAAAATTTTATATATCTGTAAAAAAATATATAAAAACAAACTGTTAAAAAAAAAATTGGAAAAAAACATTAAGTGCTGCTGAATTTTATTTGATTATTGTGATTTTTAGCTGAAAATATGTCAAAAATATATATTTGTATAAAACAACCAGGAAAAACAATGTAAAAGCAATCAGGATTTGTATACCTATAGCAAGAATTTGTCATTAGAGGCTGTTTAAATAATAAGCAACAGGTTTTTGAGCTTTTTTAGACTTTTCCATGTAACATTTTGTGACATGTTTATCAACTCCCCCCCCCCCCCATCTTGTATGTGCCCTGCTATTATTTTTAAACAAAATATATCTTTTTTTTTTTTTTGCTAAAATTTTACTATTTCTGCTATAATAAGAATTGAAAGTAAAAGTTTTTTTGTCATGTCACACTGTAGCTAACCACCCTGTAATATTTGTTAAAATTTTCGAAAAGCCTCCCCATAAGTCACGCATTATTTGAATAGTCCCCAAATAGTTTTTTTTTTTAATTTTTATTTCAGGTGCCCCTAAGACCAAATCGATTGTGATAAAACCATGGAAAAGCTAATAAGATTAGACCTAGCTAAAATAGTCTTTAAAATAGACTTTATAGCTTATCAAAGAGCACTGAGAAAGAGCATTTAACAAAAATTTCATGTCTCCTTCATATTTGGTGTCCCAAAACTTGCTCAAAGGTGGCAACCGTGCTACCACTGTGCCTTGGCTGCTTGAATTTAATAGTTTTAAAACCTATAAACTATCAGTTGTCTTTTTGAAATAATATTTGTCAAAATAACTTATTCTAAAATATGATGATGGCATCCGAGTCTAAAAAGAATTTTCATAAATTTTCATTGCAAGTATTTTTACAGATTGAATGTAGGATTTTTAACTTAAACTGAATTTAAACAAATTATTTTTCCTACTTATTTCTCTAGTTACAACCAGGGCAGACGACACGGGTTTTGAAGTGTCTGGGTGGAGGATTATCAAATTCTAAATAAAGTCTTCTATCTAGATTTTTTTTTTTAAAAGGCATCTTATAAAAAAATTATTCGAATGTAAAAGGTGTTTATTTTTAGGAATGCATAAATGAAGAAAATTATGCCAATATGTTTAATAATAACTTTTAGTTAATTGTTTAAAATACATCCAGTCGTCAGGGACACTTAGAGCCTTCATGCTGCTTGGGACAGGCAACCCTGATTGGAGCCCATATTTTTCAAAAATCTTCTATATCATCATTGAAGGACCTTTTTTTTTAAGTTCCTTATTTTCTTTGGTGTCTTTTAGACATCTCCCACTCAAGATAAACTGTCCCTTTCGTTGCCCCTGCCATGTTCATGCCTAACATAATGAATACCACTAAAAAAAAAACAAGAGTGTTTTTTTTAAACAAGAGTGTATTGTTTTTTTAATTGTGATACCAAAAAAAAAATCAAATTTTACCACCGCCAAAAATTCATGGAATTGTAACTGTAAACATTATTTAGTACTCCTGTTCTTTTGAGTGAACAAAATATAAAATTAAAGTGAGCTTATGAAAAAATTTGAATACAAAAAATTAAATAAAAAACAGCCTCTATTTCCACATCCAATCTATTGAACATTTCCATCCTCCCACAATCTTTACAAATTTGCACACCCCATAGACAAGACATATTTTCAGAGTATTATTCACTTTTTGAAGTAATCTTTTATTTTCTCTTATATATTTTTTAATCACTAAATATACTTATTTTTAGGAATTTTTTATGTATTAAATATTGTAATTTCAAATTATATTTAAAAAGTTATTAATAACAACGCATTTTTAAACGTTTTTAATGTGTTTACATAAACAGAAAATAAATATATTTAAAACTGACTTCATTCAATTCATTCAATGTAATAAAAACAGAACCTCATTCAAATTCTAATTGCATTGGAAATTCATTGCATTGGATTGCAAAATAAATTTGTTTAAGTATGGTAAAGTTTCCTATAGATTATTTATATTACTATCTTGATATATTCTTACTAGATCTTGTAAATTAGTGTTTTTATTTAAAAAAAAGAAGATTAAAAAATAAGTATAATATAAATAAATATAAAAAATAAATATAAACTTAGATAATTAAAAACATAGTGTGCTGGTGTTGTTTGCATTATTATATGCTTTGTGCGTTTTTTTTGTTGTTGTTATTTTGTTGTTGTTATGTTTGTTTACATAAATAACAATGGAAATATGCCATTATTAGTTACTATTATTCGGAACAAATTAAAAAACAGAACAGATGAAATGGAAGTTTTGTGTTTTGAATTTATTCAAATTACTCAAACTAAAAATGAAATTCGGCAGAACTTAGATATGAGCTACACAAACACTTTCATAACAAAAAATGATATTTATATTAAAAGGAACAATATTTTATGCAGCCACTAGTAAAATTGATTGTTTGAAATAAAATATATATATATATATATATATATATATATATATATATATATATATATATATATATAAATTAAGTGATCTTTAATAGTATGTGTAATTATAAGCATTAAAATATCATATATGGTATCATACTATTAATTTTTTATTTTAATTTTTTTATAAATGATATAGTGAGACTCATTTTTG